CCAGAACCAAAGTGAATTTGAGAACCAGTAACAGTGTGTCTCGTGAGCTCTTTCCCAGGATCCTGTTCCGGGTCCCTGCCTCGACTTCCCTCAGTGATAGACTGTAATATGGAACTGTAAGCCAAACAAACCCTTTCCTCCCCGGGTTGCTTTCGGTTGGTGTTTACCACAAAAGGGAAAGAAACCAGAACACTCCACATGGTGGGAGGGAGACACATGTCCTCCAGAGCTGCTGTGCCGTCTCCAGAGCTCCCTTCCCCACCATCCCTGCCAGGGCTTCCCCTGTCATCTCTCTGCATACAGCCATCCTAATGGGACTAACAGGGCCTTGAGGTAGTGACTTATAAGAGTTTAGAACAAAAAGGAATGATCAGAGGCAGCCAAAATGAGATCTCCAAGAACAATCCTGCCAGTCTAAACCTCTATTTCCTTTTTTTTTTTTTTTTTTAAGGATTGCTCTGTGCCAAGTGTCTGTGTTTCAGCCTTCCGTTGTCTTCTTGTACAAAAGTGGACAGGTGGGTTTTTGCTGGCAGCCTGGTGAGCTCTTGGCTGATGGTCGCAGGGTGGTGATAGATCCAGGAGTAAGCTCTCTGGCGATTCCTCATCCTCGGCCCAGCCATTTGCAGTTCTGCTCCGAATCTGGGTTGTGCAAATATCAGCCCAACTAGTCCCAGTCTGCCAGCTGCGCAGAGCAGGCAGACACTGAACTGCATTGTCAGATCTGGTTCCACAAAGATCTGGATGGCGTGGGATGGCCGACAGAGCCCGGTGAAATGGGACAAAGGACAAACCTCAGTGGCAGGGTGGCCAAGGCAGCCGTTCCTGGCTTTTACCAAAGTGGGTGATTAAGCCACGGGGTGGCCACAGGAGACTGTGGCGTGGGGAGATGATAAAGTCAGGGTACCCCGGAGACTGTGGCGTGGGGAGATGATTAAATCATGGGGTACCCCAGGAGAACGTGGTGTGGGAAGGTGTGTGGTCTCAGAAGGTGCCGAGGCTCAACATTGGAAATTCAGAGGCCAGTGCTGGGGGACCTGTCGACAGAGCAGAGCTGTTCAGCAAGGGCGACATGAGAGTTGGGTCCCTGGGGTGAGCGAGTGTAGCTGTGGAAATGCTTCCTGACTCTGGGCTCTAGGTGAGAACAGATCTGATGGATTCTATGTCTAGGACGTGTGACATTCTGTGGTCGATGGGGCTGTCCAGTCAGGTGGTGAGTCCCCCGTCACTGGGGGTATTCAAAGAGAGCTAGCCTAATGTTCGGCTTGGGAACTCAGGAGGAAACCTGAGTGACGTCCAAGGTCTTCAGGAGCTTAGGATCTCATTGCTGTCACTTGTGCCTACCTGTCGGGCCAACCATTTGGGGACCAGCAGGCTCCTCTGAAGGCTCCTGGGAAGCCACCTGTGTCCTGGACCCACCTAGGCCTGCTGGCCCTGGGTTAAGCTGCAGGGCCAGTTTTCCTGTTGGCCTTTCGCTCATTGATTCAGCAGATGTTTAACAACCCTCTTCCATGTGCCAGGGCCTAGTGGGTGGTGGGCGTGCAGCATGAAGGGGGGTAGGGAGCTGACTTGAGGACAGTAGAGAGGAAAGCTTGATCCCATGCAGCCCCAGCTGGCCTCTGACACACCGGGTCAGCAAGGTGACCCTGAACTGGAACACGGGCTATCTCAGGCGGGGTGGGAACAGAGGACCCCCTGCACAGGCATCCTCCAACAGAGACGGCAGGAGGATGAGCAACTGGCCGGGGGAGAGCGCAGGGCTGGGAGAACACTGCCTCCACAGTGCAGCTCAAGCTGTAGCCCACGCCCAGGCCTCGCAGGCGCTTGCTAGGTGTGCGCACGCTCATCTGGCACCCAAGCACCTGGGCCCGTGGGGCGGTGCGTGTGCCTTTGAGGGCTTGCGCACGGAGGCGGCTGTGGTGCCTTCCAAGCCCAGCCCCGGAGGACACGGGCATCATTCGTGCCTGGCCCTCCCTCTGTCCTCCTCCACTGATGTGGCTGGCTGAGAGGACAGACAGGTCACAGCGGGGAGGGAACAGCTCTGGTGGGACCAAGTAGGCACCCGTGAATCCCCGTAACTCCCCCTGAACAGTCGCTCCTGAGGGTAGGTTTAGGGTGGGGCGCGGCAGCCTACACACCTTCTCCAGCCTTTCTGCTGCGTTTTATGTTCTCAGATCTCGTTGCTGCTGCCTACCCCACTGCCAGCTACGATGGCAGCGGGGGCAGAGCCCGGGGGCATAAGAAAGAGGGAGGCTGGGGAGCACAGGAGAGCGGGAAGGAGACTGGGGGCTGCACAGGGGAGAAGGAGGGAAGGAGGGACTCTATTCTCCCTCCTCACGCGTACCTAGCAATTATACTCTGTTATTGCCAATTCGAGATAAGTGGAAAATAACAGAGGAATGGAGGCAGGCCTCCAGGCCTGTGCTGAGTTCTTGCCAGGCACTGCCATGACATTGGCATGAGCTGTGGCAGCGGGGGAGGAGCCCACAATGGCCGTGTATGACGGGGGCCTGCTGCTCTGGGGGACAAAAGTGTTCCAGTCTGGCCTGCTGTGCTGCCACTTCCCATCTCAGAGTCATCATTTGTGACCTGGGGACATGGTGCTAGAGCATCCTGCCATCCGGAGCCCGGGCCACACTCCCGTGAGGCTGCTCCTCTGTGGATTTTGCTCACAGCAGCAATGATTACCAGAAGAGATTGCCTTTAAGCCTGGGTACCGGGAAAGTGGCTGAGCATGGGGAACGCAGGGAGGCTTGCCACAGAGACAGGTGCTGCCGCAGGAAACTCGAGGCCCGAGTAAACCAAGGCATGACACTATTTGGAAACGCCGAGAAATGGAAGCCGACAAGTACAGCTTGAAGGGCTGCAGTGGCTCCATTGGTAGAGCGCTCGCCCAACATGCCGGAGGCCCAGCTTCCATCCCCAGAACCGCTCGGGAGATGGAGGCAGGAGGACCAAGAGCTTAAGATTATCTTTGGTGGTGTAGTGAGTTAGGGGCCAGCCTAGGCTACATGAAACCCTTGCCTCAAAAAAAAAAAAAAAAAAAAAACCAAGAAAACATACATACAATATAGGTAAAATTTAATTAAAAAAAAAAAAATCCCATATGAAAGGCAGAAGTGGTGTCACACAACTTTAATCTCTGCATTCGGGAGGCAGAGGTAGGCTCAGAGGCAAGTGGATCTCTGTGAGTTCGAGGCCAGCCTGACCTACATAGCAAGTCTGAGGCCAGACAGAGCCATACAGGTTTTTTCCTGTCTTAAAAAAAAAGGAAAAACAAAAGAGACAAACAAAACCCCCCGAAACACACCACGTGAGGGGCTGGAGATGGTTTAGCAAATAAGAGAAGTAGTTGCCCTTCCAGAGGACTCAGGCTTAGTTCCCAACACCTGCCTGGCAGCTGTAACTCCAGTCCCGGCCCGGGCCTCGGGTTCTAGGGGATCTGCTTCCCCCTCTAGACTCTGCAGTACCGGGTTTGCATTTGGTGCGTGTCCACGCAGGCAGGGAGAACACCTATAACATAAAGTAAAAGTGAATAAAGCTGCAAGAGTGATCCAAGCTCTGAACCAGGACAGCATGACTCCACAAATGGAAACTTCCACATCCGGCTTCATGGAACAGGTCACACTCAAAACACAGACCCGGTGGAAGGCCAGTGTAAAGTTGCCTTCAGGCTCCGTGTGCAAGGATTGCAGTCTAGGAGGCACACGAATTTCCTGTTGAGACCTGGGTCCCTCTTCAAGATGTTTCATTCTGTATCCGAAATCCAGAATGCTTCTGGTCTGAGGCATTTTGGGTAGCAGAAGCTCACCTGTGTGATGCAGGCTCTGTGCGTCCCATGGACCAGCCACGGCGTGTGTGAATCATGAAGGAGAAAAGGCAAGTCCATGCCTTCCTTGCCCCAGTCCTGCTAAGCCAGAAGCTTGGGGACCGGCCTCGCCAGTCTGCATTCACAGCCCCTAGACAGACAGACAGAGTGGGGAGAAGAAGGGGCTGGGACCCTGAAGCCAGGGAAGGAGGGCAGCTAGTACTTGTCAGTCAGCGCCGCCAGAGGCGGGCATTTCCTCTGGACTGTGGCTGAGCGGGTGTTAGGAGCAGACCGCCGTGGTCGGGAGGGCAGGGGCAGAGGTGGGGTCACAACTCAAGCCCCGAGTTCTGTCTACCACACCCACGCCTTACCTGCACCTCCTGCAAAGCCTGCTCATGCCCTGCCCCGCTGTCACCCCAGAGCTGTGCCCTCGAGGCGCTCCTCCCGCCCGCTGCCGTGAAGTGCAAGGGGCACAGTGTAAAAGCAAATGAGGGAGACTGTGGGGACACGGGGGCAGGGTGGGCATAGGTTGTCACTGTGTCCCTCAGCCTCCGGGGCCAAGCGCAGCCGGGAGCCAAGCCTGACCGTCCTCAGGCACTCCGATGCCGTGTCCTGGGCGGGTTCTTTTGGAGGAAACTGAGGCAAGGCAGGTATAGTGTCTGGCCTCAAGGAGCTCCTGGCCCACGACCATACAAATAGCATGTAACAGTGACCAGCTAGGGCTCAAGGGAGTCCAGGGTGCCACGGCCGGGTCATCACAGTCCATGGAGACTCACATGTCTAGGGGACAAATCTGACACTTGGGAATTAGAGAGCGTGGATTTTATTCCCAGCCCCCTCGCTGACCCCCTGGGGAAGTTCGGGCAGGTTGCCTCATTTCTGAGCCAGCTCCTTAGGTATGGAATGGCTTTCCACACAGCTCTGGTGGGCAGGCCCCTACCACTGAGCCACACCGTCCGCCTACGAGGTGGGTTTCCACTGGGCCTCGAAGGAAGCTAGAATCCAGCCAGTGCTTTGGGTGTCTTCCGGCAAACCTCTGGCGGTCTTTGGTGTGGTGTGACTGGAGGGGATGGCTCTCCAGGCAGCTCTGACTGGGAATGAAATGGGGCTGAGACTTTGGCAAAGGGTATGGTGGGTGCCGCTGGCCACCAGCACCGTCTCACCGGGGCCTGGTCCCCCCTGCTCTTTCCCGCAGATGATGCGGTTTTCATGGCAGAACTATCGCCGTTATGCGATGGGCAAGAATGAGCTCCGGCCACTCACAAAGGACGGCTACGAGGGCAGCATGTTCGGTGAGTTGACACGGACCCCCGGGGGCTCTGAGCGCAGTTTCGCTTCGGTCTGCCCTTTCCTGGGCTCTTCCGAGCTTTTCCGGGCCCAGAGGACCCAAGCGCTTCCGTCCGCTCTTACATCCTTGCTTTTGAACAGCTTGGAGCTTGGGAAAGTGAGGATGGTGAGGGACGGGGGGTGGGCGACATGAGCAGGGAAGACTGGGTAAATCCTCTCTCCTGGAGGGAGGCGGCGAGGTGATGCTGTTCGTCTCCATAGACGGTGTATCTGGAGAGGCAAGGGTTGGAGCAGCTTCGCCCATTCATGAACTTGGGAGGAATAGGGTCCAAAAAAGTAGAAAGCGGACAAAATAAACAAAGGTTACCGTTGATCTGTCCTGAAGATGTAGCCGCTGCTGACATCTTTGTCCATGTCCTTCCAGTTTTCCCTCCTGTGCATTTACCCTTGGGTATACGGTTTTGACTCTGTGGGAGGGACTGAGGGTAAATTAAGTATTACTGCAAATGGCTTAATCTTTCTTCTCATGAAAAAAAAAAAATGTGCTGGAGCTAGTCAGTGGGGGTGCACACCTTTAATCCCAGCACTGGGGAGGGAGATGGAGGGAGATTTCTGAGTTTGAGGCCAGCTTGGCCTACAGAGGTCATTCCAGGACAGCCGGGTCTTTGCAGAGAAACCCTGTCTTGTTAGTTGCTTTTCTTTTTTCTGTGACCAAGTGCCTGGCAAAAATCAACTTAAGGAAGAGGGAAGAGAGAGTTTGTTTTGGCTCACAGTTTAAGGGCATACAGTGCATCCTGGAGGGGAAGGCACGGGACCAAGAATATGAGGTGACGATTGTTATTGTTTCCGTAGGAGGAGGCAGAGAGAGGTGAATTTGGAGCTCTCTTTATTCACTGTGTTCCCTGAGCCACACTCAGAGAGAGGTGTGTCTTTTTGTGATTTTTAAATCAAGTCGACAGTGAAGATTAACAATTGTATTTGTATTGATTTAAAAAGAATTTTTTTGAGCCAGGCGTGGTAGCATAGGCTTTTAATCCTAGCACTTGAGAGGCAGAGGCTGCTAGATCTCTGTGGGTTTGAGGCCAGCCTTGTCTACGTAGTGATTTCTAGGACAGCCAGGGATGCACAGACTCTATCTCAAAAAACATTATTGTTATTAGAGTGAGGATAATAAATATTTGAGGTGGGCCTCACTATGTTGCCCAGGCTGATGCTGAACTACTGGACTCACAGTCCTCCTGCCTCAGCTTCCTGAGTGGCTGGGACAGACAGTCTGCCCAGCTCATATGGAATAGCTGTACGGATGTGTCGCCAGGCCATAATTCAGGTAACCACCTCACTAGTGGACGAAGGTTGTGTCTGACTCTTTCCCCATTAAGAATAGGGTAAGGGTTTCACTCTGGGCATAACCATTGGACTTCCAAGGGAAGAGATGGTCTTGGGCCTCAGCATGAAATATGAGCAGCTCTGTCAGGAGGCCAGCTGCCTCGCCTGCCTGGCACACGGACCTGCCACCCATGTCCCGCTGAGCCCCAGGGACAGGGAGCTGGTGTGGCTAGTGGGATGAGTGGCAATGTGACACGAAAGCATCCCCCTTTCCTCTCTGCGGAGGGGAACTGCTAAAGTTTTACAGGAAGCGCTTCTAGAAAGGACCCGGCCCAGTCTGGCTCCATTTGGTACCATCCCCGGGGCGCAGGATTTACATCATGGCCCTTCAGGATTTCACTAAAGTGAGGGAGAGCGTTAGGCACCTGGAATAATGGGAAGACCAGAGGCCCTGAGTGCAAATCCTCCCTCTGTTCTGAGCTATGTGGCTATGCCCACGTTACTTTGCCTCCCGAGGCCCCAGATGGCGCCACTTTTGTCCTCGGGCTTCTGTGAGGACGTCCGAGGGAGCCTGTGTGAGCTCAGAGGACCCTGTGTTAGGAATGAGTGACAGTTTCTCTGGAAGTCAGAGAGAGCGGTGTTGGCCCAGGAAGCCTGTGATGGGTTCTGGGGTCCCTTGGATGTTCTGACTGTAGGCAGGGACCCATCACAGCCTTCCTGGCAATAAGCAGGCACCCTCCCCCCCAGGCCACTGGTGCGGCCTGGGGAAGGGAGGTGTGTGGGCCCCCCCACAGGAAGACGCCTTTGATCCGCTCGCTCTTTTACTCTCCACACTGCTGGTTGCTGGGACTGGAGTCAGCGGCCTCACCTGTCCAGCACATGGAGTTGCTGTCTCGTGCCCTGCTCAGCCCCAGGGACAGGAAGTTAGTGTGGCTCTTCCCAAAGCTGCTGAAACTTAGGAACACACAGTGTTTCGAAGGTGACACAGTGGGATCTCCACCAGTCCACCCAGACTACTCTCGCTGCCCTGTCCTGGCACTCTGTGGGGCCTGCCCAGAGTCTTCAGAAAGGGACGGGTAGAGGTGACCATAGACAGTGCTGTAAAATAGTCCCTACTGGCGTGACATTCTGGAGTCAGACAGACAGGCTTCACGGCTTCCTGGCTGAGTGACCTTGGGCTGGTCATTCTTCCTGTAGCTGTCTCTGGGAGCTGGAGCCTCTGGCGGCACTGAGCCCAGCCTGAGCCTCCCTGTCTCAGAGCCCTTGTCATTGGTGACAGTTCTCAGAGAGCACGCCCAGAAGACGAGGCTCCATTCCCAGAGCCAGGGAGAGGACCCCAACAGTAGGGGCAGGTGTGCCGACTTGAATTCAGCACTGGGGGCTGTTGGGTGGCCTCTGATGTCATCAGTGACGTCACGTAGGCTAAGACCTATAGACATGGGTGCCCTGGGGTAGGCAGGAATAGGCAAATCTATTCTGCCCTCCCTGGCTGAGTGAGACTTGCAAGGGAGACCCTGGCCAGCCCCTGTTTGTGCTGGGCTGAGCTGGGTCGGGCTCCCATGGGTCTTGGGTACCGCTCTGGGTGCCTGCACTATGGAAATGTCCCCAGATCACACTGGGGCCTCCCTTCGCCAAGATCCACAGGAGCCGTGGTGAGAATGGCCGCTGCCTCAGCGTGGTCTGTCTGGTCTCCCTGTGTGGCCCTTCACCATCCTAACCGCCCTGCCATGCCCCCAGCCTTCCTCAAAGCTGGTCTTGCTCTGGGGGCAGATTGTCTTGCTGAGGCGTCCCTCCGGGAAGTTTTGTGACTGAGCCACTCCCGTCTCAGTATCTTGTTCTTGTTCTCATCCACATCCGGCTCAGCCAGCCCCATCGGAAGCCACTCCCAAGGCCCTGCTGGCCACCACAGAAGACAGCCCATTCTTGGCCTGTCGCTCAGGCCAGAGCACATGCCTTCCCTTCCTGCCTGTAAGTTTTCCAGATGGGACACTTACTGTTCAGCCAGATGCCAGAGGGGCTTCAGGTCCAGATAAGCCTGCACGGCTCTCTGCAGATGGGCAGGGGCTCCGGTTCCTGGCCTCGTGGTGGTCAACAGGGTCAGCTGTCTTCTGTAACATGGGTCCTGGAGGTTGAACGCCCGCTGGCAGGCTTGTCACTAGGTGCCTCTACGGAAGAGCCATCTTGCCGGCCTGGCCCATTGATGGTTAATTAATAGGGAGCTGTGCGCAGGACGCCAGCCCCAGGCACCAAGGAGGCACTTGGTTATTTGTTCTTACTACTCCTGTCACAGAGGCTAGAGTGTCCAGCCTGGGACAGTGGGGGTTACAATGATAGAAGAGCCAGCCACACTGGTAGCCATCATTACCATACAGCAAGTGGCTTGGTGCACGGAGTCCCAGGCTCTCTGCCTGTGGAAAAGGCCGGCCACTAATGTCCACTGCTAGAACTTGGGACACTGAGAAGTCCGACCACTGAGAGGGCCGGACTCCACAGCCAGAGGGCAAGGCTGTCATGGCGCTCTGCTGTGTTCTCTCGGGCAAGTTCCTTAGCTTCCCTGGGCCTGTTTGCCCAGCTGCCTGGTGAGGCACGAGCAGGCTCTCCTTCCTGGGATTGTTTCGAAAGGAGGCGGCTAGCACACACACGGAGAGCCGTGCCTGGCACACAGGTGGCACACCGCAGAGATCCAGATTGTGAGCGTGAAGGGCACCAGGCGCTGTTCCCGTGTTGTGGGGGCATCCCCGTTGCCCCTGGTAGGCACTCGGTGGGCACTGCCCTGCTCGGCCCCTCATTTGAGCAGCATCTGAGAATTTTGTAGCGGGAAAGCAGTGTGGGAATAAACCAGGCCAACAGAAGGGTTTGGGGTGCCCAGGGCGAGTGACAGCAGTGCCCGTTTTCGCATTTCAGGTCAGCTAGGGGTGACTGCACCCGGCAAGCGCTCACCTCTCTGTGCGTGCAGTGAGAGCCTGGCCCCTTCCTGACAGGAATGTCCCCGGGGCAGAGTCTCGTTGCCACCGGAGGGGCCGTGGGATAGTGAGGCCCACCCCACCATCAGAGCCAGGACAGAACTGTCCTTCAGGAGGTGTGGGAACTGGGGGCCTGGCGTCCAGCTCGCCCCACATACGCAGGCCTCCACAGCCGAGTTCTCTGGTGCACGCCTCACACCCCTCATAAGGTGTCTTTCACCCTCACGTACCCATTGCAGCCCCATCTCACAGGCGAGAGGACAGAGCCGGCAAGCCCCAGGACTCAAAGTATCTGAGTCCTAGGCGTTGTGGGCGCTCGGAAGCCAGACAGTAGGAAGCCGGCACAGGGTGGGAGGGGGCCAGACAGCTCAGGGTTGGGATGATGTGTCTTTTGGTCCACCCCCTCCTCCCCCACCTAGCTGTGGTGACAGCTAGGGTCCGAATCACCTGTCTCTCGGCATCATCCCTGGACATGAGCAGAACTTTTCTTCCACCTAGAAAATCTGCCCTGCGACCTTAAAAATATCTGCCTCCTGCCGGGCCATTGGCTGTCTGAGCCGAGCTGCAAGGGGGCAGGGGTGGAGCTGAGAGTCAGGCCAGCCTGGGTTTGAATCCTGGGTCTGCCTCTTACTCATCCTTTGGCCTAGGGTTAATTTCTTGACCTCTCTGCTCTCGGTTTCTCCATCTGTGAAATGGGCACGGCAACAGCTTCACCG